GCGAGACTAGTCCTCATCTCCTCCGTTTTGGATTCCCTTGCGACATACTTCCTGTCCTTCTTCAAGTTGCCAAAAAAGACTTTAAAAATCCTAGATGCGATTAGACGGGCTTTCTTCTGGGCTGCCGAGGAGACGTGCACAGGGTCAAAATGTTTGATTTCTTGGGAAAATGTTTGTAAACCGAAAAAATTTGGTGGTCTAGGCATCAAAAACTTAGCGGCTCAGAATAACTGTCTACTTATGAAGTTTGCCTACAAATACCTGTCGGCTGCCTCTGACCACGCCAATGATCTACGACACCCTGTGTACGAAGACTTGCCACCCACCATCCTTCAGTATGCCGACGACACGCTGATCATCGCCCATGCATCAACCATAGCTGCCCAAAAACATAAGCAGATCTTAGATGACTTTGGCCTTGCTACGGGGCTGTGCATCAACTTCTCTAAAACCACCTTCGTTCCCTTACATGTCGACTCGCCGTGTGCCGCAGCAATCTCTCATGTCTTTGGATGCGCCATCTCCGGCTTCCCTCAACCATACCTTGGGCTGCCTCTCTCCCCCTACAAGCTCCCACCATCCGCTTTCCAACCACTTGTTACTTCTTATAGATCACTGCTTCCAGGCTGGTGTGCCAAGCTGCTCAACCGCGCTGCGAGACTAGTCCTCATCTCCTCCGTTTTGGATTCCCTTGCGACATACTTCCTGTCCTTCTTCAACTGCCAAAAAAGACTTTAAAAATCCTAGATGCGATTAGACGGGCTTTCTTCTGGGCTGCCGAGGAGACGTGCATAGGGTCAAAATGTTTGATTGCTTGGGAAAATGTTTGTAAACCGAAAAAATTTGGTGGTCTAGGCATCAAAAACTTAGCGGCTCAGAATAACTGTCTACTTATGAAGTTTGCCTACAAATACCTGTCGGCTGCCTCTGACCACGCCAATGATCTGCGCCACCCTGTGTACGAAGACTTGCCACCCACCATCCTTCAGTACGTCGACGACACGCTGATCATCGCCCATGCATCAACCATAGCTGCCCAAAAACTTAAGCAGATCTTAGATGACTTTGGCCTTGCTACGGGGATGTGCATCAACTTCTCTAAAACCACCTTCGTTCCCTTACATGTCGACTCGCCGTGTGCCGCAGCAATCTCTCATGTCTTTGGATGCGCCATCTCCGGCTTCCCTCAACCATACCTTGGGCTGCCTCTCTCCCCCTAAAAGCTCCCACCATCCGCTTTCCAACCACTTGTTACTTCCTATAGATCACTGCTTCCAGGCCGGTGTGCCAAGCTGCTCAACCGCGCTGCGAGACTAGTCCTCATCTCCTCCGTTTTGGATTCCCTTGCGACATACTTCCTGTCCGTCTTCAAGTTGCCAAAAAAGACTTTAAAAATCCTAGATGCGATTAGACGGGCTTTCTTCTGGGCTGCCGAGGAGACGTGCACAGGGTCAAAATGTTTGATTGCTTGGGAAAATGTTTGTAAACCGAAAAAATTTGGTGGTCTAGGCATCAAAAACTTAGCGGCTCAGAATAACTGTCTACTTATCAAGTTTGCCTACAAATACCTGTCGGCTGCCTCTGACCACGCCAATGATCTGCGCCACCCTGTGTACGAAGACTTGCCACCCACCATCCTTCAGTACGCCGACGACACGCTGATCATCGCCCATGCATCAACCATAGCTGCCCAAAAACTTAAGCAGATCTTAGATGACTTTGGCCTTGCTACGGGGCTGTGCATCAACTTCTCTAAAACCACCTTCGTTCCCTTACATGTCGACTCGCCGTGTGCCGCAGCAATCTCTCATGTCTTTGGATGCGCCATCTCCGGCTTCCCTCAACCATACCTTGGGCTGCCTCTCTCCCCCTACAAGCTCCTACCATCCGCTTTCCAACCACTTGTTACTTCCTATAGATCACTGCTTCCAGGCTGGTGTGCCACGCTGCGAGACTAGTCCTCATCTCCTCCGTTTTGGATTCCCTTGCGACATACTTCCTGTCCGTCTTCAAGTTGCCAAAAAAGACTTCAAAAATCCTAGATGTGATTAGACGGGCTTTCTTCTGGGCTGCCGAGGAGACGTGCACAGGGTCAAAATGTTTGATTGCTTGGGAAAATGTTTGTAAACCGAAAAAATTTGGTGCTCTAGGCATCAAAAACTTAGCGGCTCAGAATAACTGTCTACTTATGAAGTTTGCCTACAAATACCTGTCGGCTGCCTCTGACCACGCCAATGATCTGCGCCACCCTGTGTACGAAGACTTGCCACCCACCATCCTTCAGTACGCCGACGACACGCTGATCATCGCCCATGCATCAACCATAGCTGCCCAAAAACTTAAGCAGATCTTAGATGACTTTGGCCTTGCTACGGGATATTAAGCTGATCAGTTCTCGCCTAGGGCGGCCTACAAGATCTTGTTGCATGAAGAAGTAGAGGATGATCACGCTGACCTAATTTGGAGGTTTCGGGCTCCTCATAAAATCAAGCTCTTCGCTTGGCTGCTGTTTCGTGGCCGGCTCAACACCAAGGCTAATCTGGCGCATAAACACATGTCTGATTCGGCAGCTTGCCCAAGATGTGATGCCTCCTCTGAAGACACATCCCACCTGTTCATATCCTGCCCGCGCGCGGCAGGAATCTGGGCCAGACTTGGGCTCTCGCCCACGCCAAGATTCCAGGACCTTTGGCTGGTCCCCCGTCCTGACCAGCTTGACGATCGCGTTTGGCCTGAAATGCTCATGATCATCCTATGGAGGATTTGGGACTCTAGGAATGCTGCTGTCTTCCGCTCGCTGGATCACACACCTGAAACCACCATTCGAAATATTGTAACAGACTTAGAACTATTCTCTCATCGCTTTCGAGACCCAGTTGATAAGGTAGTTGCCACATGCTGGCTTGGCTACCTTGCCACACGGCTAGCCGTGTCCTTGTAATCTGTTAACTGCCAGGCCCGTCTTGGCCACT